AGAAATGCTTCCTTTTGTGTGTTTTAAACCTTCTATCGGTTGATTTCATTTGGTGACCCCCTAGTTCTTATGTAATGGGAACAAGTAAATTACTTATTCTTATAAACTTTCTCCATACCTATCATGATTTTATAGACCCCTATCCTATCCCCCCTTCGTCTCCTCTTTTCTAAGCTCAGTCTCTCTCCGGATATCACTACCAAATGTAAGTTGTAGCAAAGGACAGAGGAAAATAATGCACTCTGATCCTTCAGGTCCAATCCTGAGTAAGAACTGCAGGGTTTGGTCTTTTAAGGGCAAAATGGCTCTTTCTTGGAACAGCTTCATCTCTGAATAATACTCACCCCCATGTGGCAGTGCCTAAAAATAGACTTTTTTGAGTCAGGATGGAGGCAGAATGGTGAAACCAGAAACAAGTGAAGAGCAGCTCAGAGCATGGGCAGGGGGCAGGAGAGAGGGAATAGATCAGACCATGGGGTGGGGGGGGAGTAGATTTCTATATAGGACTTCAGATGTGGGCCCGATTTGGTCCCGAACGTATCAACGTATTTTGGATGTGCTTATAAACCACATAAAAAGGCATGATGTAAAAACAGGACTAGAGTTTTATAGGGGAAACTGAAGAGAGAGATGCCAGGTTACGCAGGGGCTGTGTCTACACTGGCAACTTATTCCGGAAAATCAGCCGCTTTTCTGGAAAAACTTGCCAGCTGTCTACACTGGCCGCTTGAATTTCCGGAAAAGCACTGATGATCTAATGGAAAATCATCAGTGCTTTTCCAGAAAAACTATGCTGCTCCCGTTCGGGCAAAAGTCTTTTTCCGGAAAACTGTTCCGGAAAAGGGCCAGTGTAGACAGTACAGTAGTGTTTTGCACAAAAAAGCCCCGATCGCGAAAATGACGATCAGGGCTTTTTTGAGGAAAAGCGCGTCTAGATTGGCCACGGATGCTTTTCCAGAAAAAGTGCTTTTCCGGAAAAGTGTCCTGCCAATCTAGACGCGCTTTTCCGAAAATGCTTTTAACGGAAAACTTTTCCGTTAAAAGCATTTCCGGAAAATCATGCCAGTCTAGACGTAGCCTAACTGTATTGAACCTCGTGGCTAATCCATCAGTCTCCAGTTATATTTGGCATGATGCAGGGGAAAGGCCCTGATGCTGGGGCTTGGATCTGATTCCTATCTCGGCCTCGGGCCCACTGTGTGACTTGGGACAAGTCATTGCCTCTCTCCATGCCTCAGTTTCCCCTCCCGCCCTTTTTCTGCCTCAGCCATTCAGCTTATACAATCTTCGGGGACGGGGAGGTTCCTGCCTTTGATGGAGTCTCTTCCTCTTTGGTTGCTGCTACATCACCCCTGCTAGAAAGAACATTTCCCGGGGGCGTCTAATGAGATTGGAGAAAGGTAACACTTAGGAATCTGGCTTACACAAAATGGCAGTTACTTTCTAAAAAGGTGAGTGGGGGCAATAGATACAACTGGAATCCCCTGGCCATGAATTCTTCTCAGGGACATTGTAAGGATCCACCCCTCTGCTCACCAAATCCATCCTTGCACCCGGCCATGCTACCTCTACGCTCGGTCTAGAAACAAAAGGATGAACTTTCCCGGTAATGCTGATGGAAATAAAGTTTGTCTCCACTCTACCAGGAAAAATTGCCTCCCTTGGTTGTGATGCTGAGAATCAGTCTCCGACGCTTCCCTGTTCGGCCCATGCGTGCCCCTGGAGAGAGAGGGAGCCCTTGTTTCGGGGTGTCCTTTATTAAAAATGCAGCCGCACCTTCTCCAGTTCGTTAGCTAAGCTGGCTAGCTAGCCAGAGAACTCCACTTCTCTGGGCTTGCATGAGGTTGCTCCTCCAATAAACCCCGTGTAAGCCTGGCACCGAACAATTTCTTTCCAGGGACTGAGTTCTCATTCTCAGTGTCTTTTCCCAGGTTGGAGGGGGGCGTTGCGGGACTGTGTTGCCCGTCCTCTGCTTTTTAAGGTTGACCTGGAGCATTTAAAAGCATGTGTTTCTCACTCTGAGGTTACGATACTGTAATTTCCTTTACCCAGGGCTCAAGCGCTCCAGAAATGACAAATTAAAGCTTTTTATGACAGCCAAGTGTAACCAATACACAGTATTTCTCCTGTGCAGCAGAGCCTTTGCTGGCTGGGGAATTTTTTTGCTGTTGGAAACGCACGCAACTGGGAGCAGACGGAAGTGAACAGAGCGTGCTCTTCCAAATGATTTTTTGTGAGCCAGGTAGAAAAGTTTCCCCCAGCTGCACTTGTTCATCGGGATATAGAGAAGAAAAAGAAATCCAAGGTAGCAGGCAACACTCTCTCTCTCTCTCACACACACACACACTCTCTCTCTCTCTCTCTCTCTCTTTCACACACACACACACTCTCTCTCTCTCTCTCTCTCTCTTTCACACACACACACACTCTCTCTCTCTCTCTCTCTCTCTTTCACACACACACACACTCTCTCTCTCTCTCTCTCTCTCTTTCACACACACACACACTCTCTCTCTCACACACACACACATACATGCACACACACACTCTCTCACACACATGCACACACACACTCTCACACACATGCACACACACACACACTCTCGCTCATACACACACACTCTCTCTCTCTCTCTCTCTCACACACACACACACACACACACACACACACACACACGTCTGTATTTTTTGAAACAATGATTATTATTTCTTAGCAGAAAACACCTCGAGGGCTACGTCTAGACCGGCATGATTTTCCGGAAATGCTTTTAATGGAAAAGTTTTCCGTTAAAAGCATTTTCGGAAAAGAGCGTCTAGATTGGCATGGACGCTTTTCCACAAAAGCCATTTTTGCGATTGGGGCTTTTTTGAGCAATACAAATCTGAGCTGTCTACACTGGCCCTTTTGCGCAAAAGCTTTGCGCAAAAGGGACTTTTGCCCGAACGGGAGCAGCATAGTATCTCTGCAAGAAGCACTGATTTCTTATAGTAGGAAGTCAGTGCTTTTGTGGAAATTCAAACGGCCAGTGTAGAGAGCTGGCAAGTTTTTCCGGAAAAGCGGCTGATTTTGTGGAAAAACTGGCCAGTCTAGACACAGCCTTGTGGTCCACATTTACAAAAAAAACCCACCCCCTACAGAAATTTCTGCGGATGGGCCTAGATGCTGAGGAATTGCTGAGGGGTTGGAGGAGAGCCACAAGTGTGATTAACAGGTTTGAAATCCTTCCTCCCAGTTATAGACACCAGAAGCTCGTTTACCAAGGAGAAGGCAACAGGGGGAGCTAAACACCTCTGGATATTTTCTGACCAGGAAAATAAATCCAGAGTAACGGCCCGATTCTACTCTCATTTGCACCAGAGTGACTCTCTTGAAGTCAGTGGGGCCAAATCTCCAGCTGGTGTCAATTGGCCTTAGCTTCATTGAGATCAGTCTGCTCCCACACATTGACTCTGAATTTCTCAGATCCCCCTCCTTCTTCTCTTTCGAAGATTAACCAAGCCCAAATCCCTCAGCTTCTTCTCATAAGTCATGTGCTCCAGCCCCCTCATCATTTTTGTTGCCCTTCACTGGACCCTCTCCAATATATCCACATCCTTGCCATCATAGGGGCCTTGAATTGGATGTGATACTCCACATGTGGCCTCACCGATGCCGAATAAAAGGGAATAATCACTTCTCTAGATCTTCTGGAAATGCTCCTACGAATTCAGCCTAATATTCCATTCACCTTCTTGGCTACAAGGACACACTGTTGACTCATATCTGTAACCCCCAGGTCCTTTTCTGCTGAACTGCTGCTTAGTCAATCGGTCCCCAGCCTGTAACTATGCTTGGGATTCTTCCGTCCCAAGTGCAGGACTCTGCATTTGCCCTTGTGGAACCTCATCAGATTTCTTTTGGCCCAATCCTCCAATTTGTCTAGGTCACTCTGGACCCTATCCCTACCCTCCAGCATGTATCTGTTGGCATTTGACTGGAACACCAATGTTAACACCCTGTTCCTGAAATACCAGCCAACAGATTTTTAGTAACCATAAGGAAGTCAATAGTTTTATGTCTCTAATGAAAGACCGTACACCTAATAAATGGGGCCAAAAATGTTGACCAAAACATTTAAGTTGACCACATGTTGCTGATTTAGTAGAATTGTTCATCTGGAAAAAAATTAAAACTCTAAAACTAAGCAAACTGAAAAGTTTCATTTCACTGGTTTTGAAACATACAATTCCATGTTTGCTGTTGAAAAGGACTTTTGACTGTGAAATCACCTTACATTTTATGCTTTTAAGCCTTCAAAAACTCAAAATCAAAACAAAGCATTGAGTGGTGGGAAACATTTGTATTTGACCCCCATGTTGGGTTTGGATTTGATTTTGAGGCCTGGAAACATTCCCAAAAAAGTCATTTGGTTTCCGACCCAAACCAATTTTTTATTTACTTTTCAAGATTCCCAGTGAACTGAAAAATCTTCTATGTGCCTGGCATTTACAGATCCATCTGCAGCATCACAGAACCTAACACCAGACTGGAGCTTTGGTTTATTAGGAACTGTGCGACCTACTGAATTAGCGACTTGAGAGACCCGTTTTTCCACTGCTGCCTTGTGCCTTCTACAATCATTGTCACATGTGCAAGTCAAGTGTAAAATGATACCCAGACAAGCTCAACTTATTAATATTTGTAAGGCGCTTTCAAGAGCAAAATATTATGAAATTGGAAGCGATTTTTACAGTTCTAACCACACAAATGGTCAAAACAGAAGAACAGCCATCCTGGGTCAGACCAAAGCTCCATCTAGCCCAGTATCCTGTCTGCTGACGGTGACCAATACCAGTTGCCCCAGAGGGAGGAAACACACCAGGTTATCTTCATGTGATCCGTCCCCTGCCACCCATTTCCAGACAAACAGAGGCTGGGACACCATTCCTACCCATCCTGGCTAATCGCCATTGATGGACTTAACCTCCATGAATCTATCAAGCTCTTTTCTGAACCCTGTTCAATTCATTCTCTTTATTATTCTGAAAACAGTCTATCCTTCTTTCAAGCATCTTTCCTTGTGTCCTACGCTTCTGCAGCAAACTCTTCAGCAATAGCAGTGCAGAACTTCCAAGCATCCGAGCTGAAGAACACAGCATCCGCCCTAAGGTTACCATCTGGCTGGATGTAGATTTCATTGACTGTGTCATGGACCTGTGTGAGGATTGGCATCCTCTCGGCTTTGTTTCATCTTTCATAACCGGAGCAGACGCTGTGCTCGGAGAGGTCACTGGCATGAGGGAAGACTAACGGTGGTCGGGGCAAAAATGATGCCGTGGTAGTGACAGGAAAAGGCAGGAGAGTCGTCTGATTGGTCGCAAAAAAACCCAGCGCCTCACCTGCTCACTCTGCACCTCCGAGGGGGGAGCAGTGGAAGAAGCAGAGATGAAAACTAGCAGGCTGTCAAGAGTGGAGTATTAACGAGCCATTGTCGGTGCGGTGACACCACCTGGCCTTTAGGCGTTCCACCTATTATGTCATAGGCCATTTCCCTGCGGTCTCCTTGGGTGCAGCATGTTCTTCCGCGGACAGGGCGTCCACCTCAGCCCATCCCTTCCTCCCACAAGGAGAGGGAGGCAGGAGGAAATGAGGGCAGAGAAGAGCTGGGAAGGGCCTTCCTGTTGAGCCATTTCAGGGAACGTGGCCCAGCTGCTGTCATTTACCTCCGCAGAGGCTGGTGGAGAACGTGATGCCTTCCACAACGTGGCCAGAATGCGACTCTACTGCTTCACCTGCCATGAAAGGGCAGGTCAGCGTGTGATGTTCATAGAATCATAGCCTCACAGAACACTAGAACTGGAAGGGAACTCAAGAGGTCATCACGTCCAGTCCCCTGCCCTCCCGGCAGGACCAAGCACTGTCTAGACCATTCCTGACAGGTGTCTGTCTAACTTGCTCTTCAATATCTCCAGTGATGGAGATCCACAACCCCCTTAGCCAATTTATTGCAACAGCGTCACACTGTTGGTTCATATTTAGCTTGTGGTCCACTATGGCCCCTAGATCCCTTTCTGCCGGACTCCTTCCCAGACGGTCGCTTCCTGTTCAGTGTGTGTGAAACTGATTGTACCTTCCTAAGTGGAGCACTTTGCATTTGTCCTTATTAAACGTCATCCTGTTTACCTGAGACCATTTTCTAGTTTTTCCAGTTCATTTTGAATTTTGACCCTGTCCTCCAAAGCACTTGCAACCCCTCCCAACTTGGTATCATCTGCAAACTTAATAATCATGCTCTCTATGCCATCATCTAAATCACTGATGATGATGTTGAACAGAACCACCCCCAAAACAGACCCCTGCGGAACCCCACTTGTTATGCCCTTCCAGCATGACCATGAACTGTTAATAACCACTCTCTGAGAACGGTGATCCAGCCAGTTATGCCCCCATCTTATAGTAGCTCCACCTAGCTCCATCATGTTCTTGGGATTACAGCTACATTCCGGGTCCTCAGTGGTCTCCATCAGTCCCTCGGACTGAGAGAACCCACGCAACATTTGGTACCAAAGCCCTCAACTAGGGTTAGACTCCCAGCTGCTTCTGGATGAGTAGACGGGAGCAGAGAGCCTGGGTGAAATTCTGCCCTGCCCCTAAAGAGGAGCTTCACCCAGCAAGAGGGGGAGTTGCTGATGGAGCATTGTGGGTGAGGTTGCTTTTCCCTTGCTTTTCCTTGCCCCATCCATAGTAGCATAGAATCAGAGGGCTGGAAGGAACCTCGAGAGGTCATCTAGTCCAGTCCCTGAACTCCTGGCAGGCCCAAGGATCAGGAACCTATTGAACGTATGGGCATATGGCAAAGCCTATCTCTTCCAACGGGCAGTGGAGACCAGCTGATGTGGCTAGGGAGGACTTTGTTTGGGGGAATCTGCCATGCAAAGGAGTTTTAATCCTTAGCAGACTTGCTGATCCACCATCAGTTGAATGCCGAATGCAAGGTTATAGATCTAGGCAGCAGGAAGGCAGGTGGTATGTCAGGACTGGACAGTCGGTCCTAGTGGTCAGGGCTAGACTCCAAGCCAGGCATCAAAGCCAGAATCAGAAACCAGGGATCAAACCAGAACCAGGCCCAGTGCACCAGCACCATCTCAGGAAGCTTCTTGGATGTTCAGATAACTTCCTGTGCCATCCTTTGGTTTAAATGAGGTAGTCTGGCCAATCAGTAAAGCCGGTTATCACCCCCATCAGTAGCCCTGGGGCCAGGGCTTCTGAGAAGGGGGTCAGAGTTCTAGGTTCTGCTCTTTTCCAGTGGTTGTAAGTTGCTCCCTGGTGCCTAGGGGGGAGAACTGCCTGCAAACCCATGATGCATACTCTGTATGCTGGGTATGCGCAAGAAACCCCTATGGGGAAAAGCCATGCAGTGTGGACGCTCTTTTGCTCAAAAGCACATCGCTTTTGCGATGCGCTTTGAAGTGTAGACGTGCTCTTGCGCAAGAAGTTTTGCGCAAAAACTCTTGCGCAAAAGGCTTCTTGCACAAGAAACCTGCAGTGTAGACGTCACCAGGGTGTTTTCAGTGAAACAGAAGGGCTACATCTAGACTGGCATGATTTTCCGCAAATGCTTTTAACGGAAAAGTTTTTCCGTTAAAAGCATTTGCGGAAAAGAGCGTCTAGATTGGCACGGACGCTTTTCCGCAAAAGCACTTTTTGCGGAAAAGCATCCATGCCAATCTAGACGTGCTTTTCCGCAAAAAAAAGCCCCAATCGCCATTTTCGCGATCGGGGCTTTTTTTGTGCAAAACAAATCTGAGCTGTCTACACTGGCCCTTTTGCACAAAAGCTTTGCGCAAAAGGGACTTTTGCCCGAACGGGAGCAGCATAGTATTTCCACAAGAAGCACTGATTTCAGACAGTAGGAAGTCAGTGCTTTTGTGGAAATTCAAGCGGCCAGTGTAGACAGCTGGCAAGTTTTTCCGCAAAAGCAGCTGATTTTGTGGAAAAACTTGCCAGTCTAGACGCAGCCAAGATGTGACTGTTAGACATTCCGCACAATAAATGTTTTCCAGGGTCTTTACCTACCTAGAAAGCCGCTTCCTCATTTGTTCTCAGAACGCTGTCCTCAAATGGCCACTATTAGAAGAAACACCTTTAAGGAATCATCCTAACCCTAGAAAAGACTAGAAAAGTTACCTGGTAAAGACCCCGGTGATACAAAGTAAAATCACAGCATACGATTCGTTCAACCAAGTTTACTACCAGGTGGTTCTTATGGCCAGTGGCTCTTAGTCCTTGTGCTCCCAGAAGTCAAGATGGTCCCAATGGGATTGTTTATATGTTACAGGACATAGGACGGGATGCAGCAGAAGGCTTAATACATCACACGTATCCTATAGTGGCAGTGGGTTTCACCTGCAGAAAAGAGAATAGAAAGAAAAGGCTGGTAAAATGCACTTAGCTCCGACACGGTTCCAGGATGGCAGTGGCAAAAATACATTGGACCCTCTGAGAATTTGAATTATGTGGTGGCATGTGGTCCCATAAAGGCCTCTAGCACCAATGCCACTAAATGGCCCCTTTGCTGAAAATTCCCCCGGGAGACTAAAGATTTAGTGGGACACATAGATTCAATGGCTGTTGAAGGTGATTGGAACATCTCCTTTGCCGGTGACCATGCTGTGCCACGTTCAGTGAGTAATGGCGTGCCTCCAGATAGTCCAGGTGGTGTCATTCTCTATCCGGATGAGCAGCAAAGAGCTAGGGTTCTGTGGTAGTGACTTCCCAACTCATACCCGACAGCTATAATAAATGTATCAACCATTATATCACATCCATGACCAGCTAGGGCTTTATGGTGATCGCTGCAAATTTCACAGTAGGAGCAGGAAAA